AGTGACACCACCGCTGAGGACGGCCACTCGCGACCTTACTCCATATTTGATGCATCACATTCCTATCTCTCTTCCATTTCAGATATGTCTTCATTTTTTGAATTCGAGGACATTAATCCTCTTTCCCATGATGCTTATCATAATAGACCTTTAGGACTGCCGGTTAGACGTTTGAAACCGCCATCAGGAATGATTTTTACTGCTGCTAGGTCTAGTGATCTTATGAATGTAAGAGACATAGTTCCCTTTAATCCATCTGATCAGAGAGATTCTGAAAATCGTAGAAAAGTTATGCCTCTTGCAGCTTTGGAATATGATAATGAGCAACAAGAGTTTATTGGACAATATAGGTCAACAACATCTTATAAGAGCAACAACAGTTCCCATGCCTCTTTGGATGAAGGAGATCAGATGACGGGTGGTCATCTTCTTCTGGAATATTCTTCACAGCCGCCAACAGTCATTTCTGAGTACAAAGATGCAACAAAGTCTAGCTCCGGAAGGGTTTCACCCACACCGCGGCAGGTTGTTGCGGAAGATGAAGATGATGATGAGTTCAATGAATTCATGATGACAAATAGTAATAATTATAATAGCAGTATTGGTGAGATGAGAGAAACACCTTTGGACTTGGGAGGAGAGTCTAACCACGGGCACATTAGATCTTGGTCATTCTGGCGCCCTGCACCTTTGGAACCCAACCCAACCTCTTCATTTCCTACAAAAGCTTCCGCATCTTCCCCTCCGCATTCCCCGAATGTCAAAATTGATGATGATCATATCAAGGAGAAGGATGTTTATAAGTCTCAGTCCTCGTCCTCGTCCTCGTCCTCGTCCTCGTCATCATCATCAGCAAATAATGAAGAAGAAGTAGCAAAGCCTTCTTGGCCTTCTTCCGATGTACCTGCCAATAATGAGACACTAGACCCTTCTTCTTCTTCTTCTTCTTCTTCTTCTTCTTCTTCTTCTTCTTTACTGATAGACAAAAGAATCCAATATCTGTATTCATCTCACGAAAAGCCACCATCAGTGCGCCGTAAAGGTTCGTTAATGGGAAAATCAGTGAGGACAATTAGATCGCGTGGTCTTGCTGATGATGATCGGAGATTATCTTCAATGACGTTGGACAGCATAACTGAAGGAGGAAATGGTGAAGAGACTCCATTAATCAACACACAAAGGGGCAGCAAAGTTGGAGTTACCCCCATTCTGGAGTCAACATTTGCTACTGCAAAACAGAATGGGATAAAGGAAGACAGTGTTGCAAGTGACATTTTGGAGTCTAGATATGACTCTGTCAGTGTATGGAACAATTCAGATGCAAGTTCAGATTCAGGTTCTTATGTTGTAGATGATGTGGAACTGGGAAGTGAGGTTGACAGGAAAGCCGATGAGTTCATAGCAAAGTTTAAAGAGCAGATCAGGCTTCAGAAGATTGTATGAATGATTTCGACAATCCAACACTTAATAATTTACTTATTTATTTATCAGTAAGTCGGGTTAGAGATGATGTACAAACACATGTACCATTCCTTGGGAAACAGGTAGAAACCCTGGGATGCTCAACTTGAGCACACATACACATATGCTCTCTCTATACATGATATATATCTTTCTAGTGTCTCACTGCATGCAAGAAACTTAAACATGCTAACTACTTTTCATCTCTCTTCAACTTTAGGGATACAAATCCTTTTGTCAAACTTGTCTGAGTTGGGCCTCAATAATGGTAACACCACTTTCACATTTTGTAATACATGTCACTATTATTCATGATTATACTGCTTTTTTTCACCTCCTTACGTGAAACAACCTACATTTAACGTCTTCAACCCACATCGTTGGATATTTGAATGGAAAGAGCATTCATAATATATTAACATACTTTAGCAATCAACTCCACCCTTGATTCTGCATATAATTAGGGGGTGATCCATTCAAGTTTTGAATCACGTAACCTGTGAAACTAAACCATAACTGGATATATGGGACCTGATCAGTTCTAAAATTGTTTCATGTCATGTTCCTACTTCTTTAGCACTTCTACAAAAGGAATAAGTCTCATTTTGTCTTATTTTGAAGGAGGTAGAACAAATTTGAACTGGTACCAGAATTGGAAAATTCGTTTGGTCTCTCACAATTCCATCCCTAGTGAAAATTATGTTTTTTACACATACTGTCTGTGACACCAAAAAAGATTGGGAAAATGGAAACTAATAATCCAACCTTTTAGCAGTCTTCTTACAATAGCCCCACCTTTTTGTTATTCAAGAATAATTCAACCTTTGCACCCCATCTTCATTCGTCGATCCCTGACCGGTTAATGACATGCTATTCCAATTTATTTTCTTATCTTTGCAAAATATTATCTTTGTGAAAGGTGAGATTTATGGTATAATGGTTTGTAAAGATAAGAAAATAACTTGGAATAACAGGTCATTAACCGGTTAGGGACGAGTGAATGAAGATGAGGTGCAAAGGTTGGATTATTCATGAATAACGAAAAGGTGGTGTAACACCCCGGCCCCGTAGGACCCGAGGTAGTTACTCAAGATCTCTAGTACTGCCCTCACAAACCACCACGAGCCTTTACCGCACACTTTGTCCTCACTCGTGCACGTCCTGAGAAACTTCCCAGGGGGTCACCCATCCCTAGACTACTCCCGTGCAAGCACGCTTAACTTTGGAGTTCTTATCGGATGAGCTCCCTTAAAAGGAGATGCACCTCTGTTGGTATGAGTAGTACTATTAATCCGTTTATATTAAATCTCAAGTGTTACAATCACCCCCACTTAGGATCGCAACGTCCTCGTTGCGCCCTTAAACTAATCTCAATCATCCCAGAATCTTGCCCCGCTAAGTGCCCGCCCGATATCCAACGGATCAGCACACTGTCGCAGGGTTGCTCTGGTACCACCTGTAACACCCCGGCCCCGTAGGACCCGAGGTAGTTACTCAAGATCTCTAGTACTGCCCTCACAAACCACCACGAGCCTTTACCGCACACTTTGTCCTCACTCGTGCACGTCCTGAGAAACTTCCCAGGGGGTCACCCATCCCTAGACTACTCCCGTGCAAGCACGCTTAACTTTGGAGTTCTTATCGGATGAGCTCCCTTAAAAGGAGATGCACCTCTGTTGGTATGAGTAGTACTATTAATCCGTTTATATTAAATCTCAAGTGTTACAGGTGGGACTATTGTAAGAAGACCGTTAAAAGGTTGGATTATCAATTTCCATTTTCCCAAAAAGATTTGCATTGTCTGTGAGCACATATATTGGACATCTATTGTTAGTGCCCATAGACAACAGTTGTAAGGGGCAAGTTGTAAACAAGTAGGGAAAACACTCTAATAGGATTAAAACACGAACTTAGAATGTAAACAGGAGTTAAGACTTACTAAACCCTAAACAAGACTAATTTGGAATCACACGAACAAAAATAACCTTGTTGAAGGTAAAGGCATGATGGTGGCATGACTTTGTCAAGACAAGGCAAGCTAGACCAAGTATGAGAGAAAACGGATGGCGTTGCGAGAAACCATGTTCAATTCGGTTCATGGGCAGCATGGTTTGGGTTGGCTATGGGTGTGTTGGTCCAGCATGTGGTCCAAGTATTGATGAAGGTCAGTGTCAAGCGTGGCTTGGCTTACGAGACGTGGAACAAGTTCAAGCACGAAAAAAGCATATGGCTCAAGTTGGCACGTGGGAGACTCATGGGAAGTGTGTGTGGTGCGTGGCTAGGCTTGAACCTGAAGCGTAGCTGTCCTTGAACAGTCACGACTATTGGGAGCTTCAGTGGCAATGAGGGTTAGTTGGCGTCTGGTTGACAAGTGGGACTTGGGTAAGTAGGGCGCAAGGCAACGAGGGTTAACCACGGGCTCAAGGAAAGAAAGAGTTGGCTCGCACGTGGTCTGTGTTAGGCCGCAACGTCGATTCAATCTCGAAGGGTCATGTCGGTTTGGTGCTGGCATGGCTCAAGTCTAAAAGGGAGAATGACATGGCTCAAGTCTAAAAGGGAGCATGGCATGTCGGGGGCTTTGGGCGAACCGGTTGGCGGTTACCAAATGTCCTGTATGTGAAGAGACGCGTCCCTTTAGGCTAGGTGCGCCAGGCAGTTAGTTTGTGATTGCCACACTTTGTCAAGTCTATAAATAGGCTACGTACACTTGACACAAGTTTTTTAAACAGAGTGGTGTGTGCAAGTGTGTTTGCAAGTGTCAGACTTTGTGAACGTGTTGTATTAGTCTTAGTAATATGTGTGTGTGTGTGTGAAATGAGAATGAATCTCAGCCATTGAATTTCCGATTTTGCACTGAAAATATCTTTTACTAATTTTTTTACTTATATAATTAGTGGAAATTTAGAAAGAGTAACACATATCTGCTAAACTAATCATATATACTTCATGTTCTCTATTCGAATTTAAATATAAGGTGAATGGAATTTTACAAATGATTAGTGAAAATTGAATTTTTAATTGATCGGTGGTCTACCTTGGATATTCGAGAGCCTTCGTTGTTGATACAAAATTCCATCGGCCAACCATTGCCAAGTTAGTTCCCATACATGCTCAGGTCTGCTGACGGGACATGATAAGAGCAGAGTTACAAACAATTTTCTACATAACAACATATTCTTTTAATGCTCCAATATATTCTTTATCATCCCCAAGCAATCCCGCCGCAAAACACGCTTCTCTAAAGGTTGGATATTGAATGTTGGCAACTGTCCTGATATCCCCATAACAACACGGCCCCTTTATTACAGTGAGCATCATTCTTAAGTAGAATAATTCACCTGTGGTTGGAGGTACCCAAATGAGTCTACCAATAGTGTAACCCTTTGTTCGCAGTTTCCAGCACCTCTTGCTACATACACAAACCGTGAAACAAATTTTGCATAGGTCAAATCTTTTCCTTCAGAATAAATTTTGTTTGCTTGCATCCAAGATGTAAACATTGATTTTTTAACAATTTTTTTTGTTAAAACTGAATCCAGGTTGTCATTGTCACTAAAGAACACAGACTGCTCATTGGGAAGGTGAAAGAAAAGCCTTTCAACTGCTGGAGACCTACCATGAATCGGAAAAGAAAAAATCCTCCAACACGCCTCACATGGTGAGACATACCTACAATCAAGATATTGCTTGATCTCATCAATAGTCTCATTTTGTGGAGTCTCATCATCACGTGTTGGAACAATAACTGCTGTAATCCGATCATATCCTTTGTTGATATACTTGAATAAGTATTTGATTGAAGTGTTTTGATTACACCATTCCATGTTGATATGGGCCTGGTACTTTAACAACAATTTTGGATTATAAGGCACAACATGACGATTGTCTAAGATAATATCAGATTTTTCTATTTCTCTTCCATTTTGTCTTCTCCTATAAATAGGATAACCATCTTCGTCAAGTGTCGTGAATTCCTGAAACATTGTAAATGTTATGTATTTCTATTCTAAAATGATGAGAATAATCTTAACTTAATACTTCTTAGCACCACTAATGTCATGTATGACTTTGATAGAGTAAGTTTAACAGATAATAGTAAAAAAAATGAGAGATGTTTTTTACCACATATGTATAAATTGCATGTGTTCTTAAAATTAGGAATTGATGTTTAGTTTGTAGTATTATTCTACAGTGTGACAATGTATAAGTTTTGATTTATTTTTTATGAGGGACCTACATGCTAAAAATTAATAGTAGTGACAGTATAAGTCACATTTTTTTCAAGATGAATAGTTAATACTACAGTCATTTATTAATTAGTACTTCGTAATATTTTAATGTAATTATCTATCATTCATTAGCAAATGTATGAAACTATTACGGCAATAGAATTTAAATTATCTTTTTGTAACGATCTAAATGGAAATATCCCAAATATCTTAAGAAAATGTGTGTCTGTGTGTGTATTGCTTTTGGGAAGTGATCATATTTAGAACAAAATAAGACCACACTTAAATTGACCAGACTAATTAAAATCAAACTTGCCTGGAATTGCTTAGGATAATACTTGTTGCATTTCCTATCCTGCATGCATGGCGATGAAGGGTTCGCTGAACCGCATGGACCATGAATCATGTGAGTTTTGACCAAGTTGTATAATTCTTTCTCAGACTCTTGATCAGGTATCTCTGCTGAGATAATCCTATCAATATCATCGGCAGTTGGGTACTTGTTCGAAGGATGCAAAAAAATGAGTATATGACCATGTGGCAGTCCTCTTTTTTGGAACTCGATTGTATACATGTCTGGAAATAAATTAGCAAATTAAAATTTTAGAATAAATGAATTGCAACAATAAATTGTAGTGTGAATAAGAAATATGTAATGTATTCATATTCAAAACTTACATGCAAGAACTTTCCCGAATATATGTCTTTTCCTTAAATCTGTTAATAACTCTTCAAACTTGATCCTAAAGACCCTTGCAAGAATATCAGGACGATCATGTGGCTTCAAGTTTAATGGTTCAAGTACTCTCTGAATCTCAGGCCAGTTGGGATTGCAAGTGAAAGTGATAAAGAAATCAGGAAAGCCAACAAAACCGCAAATTGCCATACCATCGAAGTAAAGTTGATCCATGTAGCGGCGACTTCCTACAAATGTCGATGGTAGTACAATTCTTTTTCCCTTTTCAGATGCTTGACATTGTAAGTCGTTATTTGGTTGAGTGAGGTTACTGTATTTATCAACTCTTAGCTTTTTTTGGTTTCTCCTTATAAACGATAACCTCTCTTATTCAAGCATAGTATGTCCATCAACCACAAACTGTTGAAATAATCTTCTTGATCTCAACAATGTGAGTGCCTCTTTTTTCCTTGTTTGGAGTCTAAAACAAAGCCACTCCCTTATGGTAAGACAGTTTCTTTTAGAACTATTAGAATTACCTATATCTCTATGAAGTACGTCATGCCTATATCCATCCTCACCGTAAGGGAATAAAAGAGGATATTGATAACTCAAATAGCTAGTATGCAACTCACTGATTTGCTGAAGTTTATGACTTCGCGTCTCCATTATTATGTCTCTTTTTGATGAAGTATCAACATCTCCAACAATAAGAGCAGCAACTTCTGAAACCGTTGGCTGATTATATACTCGTCCATCGCTAACTCTGTCAGAAATCAACTTTAGCCGTAGATCCTGCACAGGTGCATCTTGTAATCTTTCCTTAGCCATCCTAAAGGATTTTTTATAAGTGTGATTTGTTCATATATTTTCACTCACTTTTTATAGTGTTTCTTGTTAAACTCAGGGCAAATTGACACATTTTTCTGCGTTTTTATTGCATTTTTGTTAATGTTTGAAATTAGCGATGAAATTTACATTTTTAGTGATTTGTGCTTAGTTGAAGTGTTTGGGTTGTTTTTGTGTTTGTTTTTCACTTGTGTGGTTTATATTTTGTAGTTTGTCAAATTTTGTTTTTCAATGCTCTTTTATTATTAATGCAATAAACAAATGAGCAAATGAGGCACATTAATTAATCAAAAGAAAAAAAACTGCAGCTACGCTGCGTGAAGAAAAAGAAAACAAACAAAATTTTTAAAGAAAATGAAAAAGAAACAAAAAGAAAAGAAAAGAAAATGAGATAAGATGGAGAGTTGCCAACAAAACAGCAGGAGGGTGTGGTCGTGTGGAGTCCCATCTTTTGGACTATCAAAGAAAAGAACAAAAAGGGCAGCTTCAAGGAAAGAAAAGAGAGCACGACTAGATAGGCAACCAACTGCAATCACTCAGCCCGGGTAGCCGCAAGTAGCTCTGGACAGAGATGCGAACAATTCAGTCCAGACCCTCAGCTCTCAGCCGCAAGGGAGTTTCACTCAGGGGCAAGAACTCCAGAAAAACGCAGCAGATATCAGATGCAATCAGAGGTTAATGTGAGATATCAACTGCTAAGAAGTTATGGTTTCTATAATTTGTATTCAATTTCAGTCCTAAATGTTCTATGCTTGATTTGTCTTTAGATATAAACTTCAATAAGCTTCAAGTTTTAATCCGTGTATTATTTCAAACTCCGAATTTCTGTTTATTTGGATATTTGAGTTGTTAATGATGTTTATTTACTGTTTAATTTCATCTACAAATTACTCTAGCTCTTTAATTAATTGTCTTAGTTTCTTGATAATCATGTTAGGCTAAATTTCCATGGGGTTTGGATTTGGTTAAATTAAGGCTAATGGGTGTTCTTGGATATTGAATTGAATTTGGGAAAAGTCTCCAACTTTAGGACTAGTTGTTTGAGATGAAATTGAAAAAGTAATTTGTGTAATTGATCACTTCACTTGTTAATTTTAGAAGATTAACTCTTTCTTGTCCATGAGTTTAAGAATTAATTTTAGACCACATCTCACACACGCTAAACTAAGCCTAGAAATAGGACATGTTAGGGAATTAATATTAATTTCTTGTCTATGAGAATTGATATTTTAGTATCTCTAGATTGGTGAAAATTTCCCATTTTTTATTCATTATAAAAGACGCCCAAAATTCTTAATCCCAAATCTAGACCCCACTTTTAATTAGTTAATTTATTGTCACTAGTCACATTGAATTTACTTCTAGTATTTTATTTTCGAAACTTTACTCATCCATATGTTTGTTAGTTTAATATTTTTATTAGTTAAATTTTTCTCTCAATTTATTTTGCATGTTCACTAGTTTTAGTTTACTCATTAATGTCATTTAATTAAATTCCCCGCTACTAGTTTTGTTGTTTAATTTTATTTACTTAACCATTATCACAATTAATCGATTGAGAAAGCTTGCAACGACTCATACTAACCGGTGACCGATATTGAAACCAACACTTCCCTCCGCCACTCCTCAGAGACACGATACTCGGGGATAAACTGAAAGGTTAGACTCCGTTTTACTACAACGCCGCGAAAGCGGGTTATCAATTTTGCATGCACATTGTGTTGGTGTAGCATGGCTGATAATTTGCCCACGATTTGCTCATCTATGTCATTTTGGTTTCTACAATTGAACAATAACATATAATGAGAAATAATAATTTAATAAATTTGTATTTAGTGTTTCTTGATAAAAGTAATATACATGCTAACCTTATTCCTCGAATCCTATTTTGTATCTCATGCTCTGTATCATATATGTATAATTGGGCAAACTTTGGAGGTTGACCTGGCATAGGTAGCATGCTTCCCACTCGATGGCATGTTTGCCCCTGTATTTTGAAAGTTGGCGGGCCTCGACCATCGTTGACTGACTTGTCAATTTTAGCACCAGGTGATGTGAAAGCAAGGGGTTTTTAGATGTGTTTGATTTTAATTAATTAAATACGAAGATGAACGACTTAAATGAGTTTAATTAATAGAGATGATGACTTGGTTTTGCTTTTATCCACTTAATGAAATGTTCGTCGATCCCGGTTATATCTTTAACTATCTTCCTCTCGAATACTCAATCGAGGAGTATATCCAATTCATCGAGGGTAGTTATTAATAACGAGACGCGTTCATTAATAAAACTTACTACCGAGTCAATATAGAACACACGCCGTATATTAACCCGATAGTAGCAATAAAATCAAGATGAAAACGATTGAGATTGATAACCTCAACACAAGCGGTTTATTGGTTTAATCAACATAATTAATTCCCCTTGGTTTATTAACCATGAAACGCATGCATTAATAACCCAAGTTTACTACCGTGAAACGATCGAACGATTAACAAGCGTATTCGTCGATCGATTCTAGTAATAATTAATACATGAAGCAAAACTAGTTGATCCTTTAAGTAATGTTCAAAATATTAATATGAAATATGAATAGGAATTAATTAATACTCAAGGAAGAATATTAAAGAAGATGAATCCTACTATAATTAATATCAAGATGTTAACTAATTGTCATCTTAGTAACACTCCCCAATATTAACATAGAGGAAGAAATAACTATTACTATAACTAATGTCAAAATGTTAACTAATTGTCATCTTAGTAACACTCCCCAACATTGATATAGAAATAGTATTTAAAGGAAGAATTAATATTCAAGGAAGAAGATTAAAGAGAATAACTCACAACTTACAAATTCATTAAGCTTCAAAGTAGCAAAACCAAGATGGAAGAGTTTAGCTCCTCATTTGGAGACTAAACATGATAGAAAATATAAAGAAAACACTAATCTAAACTGAGCTAAAGAGTATATGTGAATTGGTGATTTTATTGTGAAGGAAAGGGGTGTATTTATAGGCTTTTGGGAGCTGCAGGGTCTGATCTCCGATCGGGTATATAGGATACCCGATCGGGTATCTTAGGAAATTGCCCAGAAAGTCACTTTTTTGGGCATACCTGATCGGGTATGTCGGCATACCCGATCGGGTCTGATTGGGGGTGAACATCATCTGATATCCACTTATACGTTTGGTCTGGATAGGAAGGTCTTTTCGGCTGATAATTGCTCCTGTCGATCCAGGGAGCTGATTTTTATCAGCAGTTTTTCAGCAGGCAGCTGGAGCTTGCTAATTTCCAGATTGAGAATTCCTTCCTTCCAGTGAGCACAATTTGATGACATCTTTAAGGACAGATGTCTTTCTTGTCATAGACTGGCGTGTGCTCGATAGATAATCCTTAGATCATTAACATAAGTTGTGTCAATGATCTGAGAATTTCAGTTGTGAAGTGCTCCAGTCTTGACATCTTCTTTTCCACTCCATGTTCCTATCACCTTTGTTGTTGATCTTCCCTTTCCTTTTCAGAGCAGTAGTTTCGCAAGTGATAACGTTTAAACTCAACATCCATCTTTTGATATTTATAAGTACCTCTTGATATCATCTAAGGTGGATGAATATCAATTGATAATTAATGAAACCATTGGATTTCAGTTGTGTTTATTCTGCTTGAATTCTCCTTTTATATAATTGAATCTCTTCTGGTCCTTTTAACCCCAGTATTAGATAAGCAGGATGACGATAGGATAAGTGTTTGGTCATATACTTGGTTTGTCCGGGTGTGGATTTTCTGTGAATTATATGGACAGTGACTAGTATATTTTCCAGCTTAGTGTAATAGTTGACTCTTTAAAAGATTTTGTCAACTGGACCTTTGGGATTTTAAGTGAGGAAGGTTCTTTGGTATGGAAGTAAGGGTAAGGTTGATCATGTGGTGGTGAGGGAACATATAGTTGGTTACTGATCTATGTTTGGATAGGTGTGCTAAACATATAGATCAATAGGTGTTTTATTTTCTGGAGTTTTAGGGACATGAAATGTGAAGCCAGATTCAATATCTTCAACTTTAGTCAATAGTTCATCCTCCCAGTAATGATACTGTTTGGATTTACTAAAGATTTTAAGATTTTCAGTTTGAGAAAGGAATGGAGCTATCTGAATGTTCTTTTAAGTGAAACAAAGATGGGATAATGGGTTGAACATTCAAGATAAATTGAGTACTGGAGAAGTGTTTGAATATACCTCTTCATGATCATCTAGGATGGCCAGATGATTGATGT